AACTGGTCGGCGCTTCCATCATTTCCTCTGACCATATTTGCAATCAGTTCCACACCTTTAATAGGATCTTCTGCAAAATACCACTCACTCCAAGAACAATCATCATCCCACTGCATCCTATCGGACATTTCAATGTGGAATAAGCAAACATAGATACAAATAACTCGTACAGCTCTTCCAAATGCATGAGTTTTATTGGAACCTGACTACCAATGGCTTCTGGACACGGTCAATCAGAGGTGGCGCCTGAAGATGCTTCACCAAAGCAGGAACCGCGCCTCCTTCAATAAAAGCCAGGATCTGCCTATCGTCGTGTTGTTCCTCGTCGAGCTTCCGCTTGGTAGTGTAGTCGTTGTTGTTGACAGCGTCGACGGCGAGGGACGACATTGGGCGTTGACAAGAAGAAAGATGACTATCAGCAGAGACGTTTTGGTTCTGGAAGACGAAAGCTGAAATTGGAAATGCAACCAGGCCAGCTTGAAGAAAACAAAAACTGTGATGCATGCGCCTATGACAGTTAGAGTAGAAGCTGCAGAGGTAGTTGAACGCAGTACTGGAAACACTGATTCTGCAAATTGCTCGACTGATTATGCAGATTGCTCGACAAGACCGAGAAGACAAGCTGTGAGACCCTCCAGGTTCTCTGAGTACGAGACGTATTCTGATGCTGGAGTAGATGAAGAAGGTGATATAATTCATTTGGCTTTGATGGCTGGAAGTGAACCATTGGACGTTGAGGATGCACTGTCACAACCAATATGGAAGGAGGCTATGTTTGAAGAGCTGAGATCAATCGAGAAGAATAATACGTGGGAGTGAGTTGATCTGCCACCTGGAAAGCAATGTATTAGGGTGAAGTGGGTCTTCAAGAAGAAGCTAAATCCGGATGGCACAACATCGAAGCACAAGGCCAGACTCGTGGCAAGAGGCTTTCTGCAGAAGCAAGGAGTAGAATTCACAGAAGTCTACGCACCTGTGGCAAGGTTAGAAACTATCCGTTTAGTAGTGGCTATTGTTTGTGCTAGGAAATGGTTGCTATTTGCACTTAGACGTTAAATCTGCATTTTTGCATGGTCCTTTGGAGGAGGAAGTATATGTCCAGCAGCCTCCAGGTTTTAACAAAATGGAGAAGAAACATGAAGTCTACAAGTTGCATAAAGCACTTTACGGGTTGCGACAAGCTCCCAGGGCATGGAACAAAAGGATTGATGCTTTTTATCAGCCACGGGTTTGAGAGGTGTGCTGTAGAGCATAGNTTTTGCCAAACAAGTGCGAGCCTATCGTTTCCAAAGCCAATGGAAGGCCATCGGCATACCACACTGCACGCTTTATGACTTCCTTGTAACATGGATCAACTTCTTTGTTCTTGAAAGCATTCCACTTATACAATTCAAGGGCTTCCATATGGTTAATTTCACCAACCATGTACTGTTTTTGAACTCCATGAACATCTAACAAATGCTTATCCCTTGTTGTTATGATGACGATGCTACCAGGGCCAAACCAATCAAGTCCTCCAACAGTTGCTTGCAATTGTTCTTTTTTGCTAATATCATCAAGCACAAGGAGGACTTTTTTCCCACAAAGTCTGTGTTGTAGTATTGGAATTCCTCGATGCACATCTCCTAACTTGATATTTCTTTCCCCCACCAACTCAGACAGCATTGTCTCTTGGATATGCACCAGACCTTTTTCCCTGACATTAGCAAGAAATTGCGAAGCTTCAAATTGATCTTCCATCAAGTTGTACATCGCACGTGCAAGAGTTGATTTTCCTATTCCTCCCATTCCATGAATCCCAAGCATGGTCACTTTCTTATCAAACTCACCACCCATGAGTTCTTGTATCTGTTGCATCCGATCTTTCAAACCAACAGGATACTCAGCAATATGTAAGGGAGACCGCTTAAAACTATCGGAGATCTCTTTTATGATCTTTTTCACTATATTAGACTCATACTTTTCACTGCCATTCATACAAGAGCAATCAAATCACTGTCACATTGGCAAATCAGAGAGACTATTGCTATATACTGATAATTTGTAACAGAGATGACTTACCCAGATTTGAAATGCAAACCAGACAAATTAGCAGCATCATACAAAGCCCGCCTCCATTGTTGAAGCTTCTGAATGTCATCTTTGAATCTTTCACCAAGCTTTGCAAATGCTTCTTGGTAACTCCCTGTTTGATTTCGCACTTGTGATGGCTCTACGTCATAAAACACTGGAAAAATCAGCATGTTCTGTTTTGTTCGGCACTCAATGATATGGAGAAGTTCGTCCAAACAAAATGTTGAGAAAGCATAGTTTTGGGAGAAAACAATGATGGATATCCTGGATTCTTGGATTGCCTTGCGAAGAGAAGGTGTGATCTCTTCTCCCTTTCTGAGAGCTTCATCATCGATGAAGGTCAAGATTCCCCTTTCACTCAAAGCACTGTACAGATTACCAGTGAAACCAAAACGGGTATCATCTCCACAAAAACTAAGAAAAACATCGTAACGGTATTTTGACACAATAGAAGTAGAAGAAGATGCTTGGTTTTGAGCCATTATAGCGAAACTCGCAAAATGCTTTAACTTTTGTTTCCTGCCTTCAATTGATAATATAAGGTTTTTTTTCAAAAGCCAAAGTGTCCACATGTCAAATTAAACATCACAACTAATTTATTTTCATTCAAGCAATAATCACATATTTAATTGATATTATTATAATTTATTAGCCTTTTATACCCAAAAAAGTTTTATTATTTTTAAAGACCTTTACTCACACAAGATGCAATATTTACACATAAAAAATTCTTATCAACAATTTGATCACACTCTAACAATCTTAATAAAATAAAGATTAATCTTCTGTCTTTTTAAACTTCATATACAAGTTCCACAGTTACATGGGCAAATCTTATTAGTGATGAATTTATTCTATTTAAGATTATAGCAAGACATAATTATATCACTTTTTACAATACTAACATACTATCAATCAAATAAAAGATGAAGTTAAAAATTATAAAGAAAAGATTAATAATATTTTTAAAAAAGATAATATTTCTTATAAAATAAAATTTCAATAATATAAAATAGTATAATTTTTAATCCTTATATATCATCGGTTTTACAAAATCAGCAAATTTTAATTTCATTTGCCTTATATTTTATCTTTTAAAAACTATTTCTAATATTTATTATTTTGTCATTGACTATTCATATATTTAATACAATTAAATACAATTAATGCCTGTGGTACATTAAGTATACTTTAATTTTTTTTTTCTCCGAACCACCAACTCAGCAACGTAATTTATAAAAAGAATAGTATTTATAAATTTTATGGAGCAGCAGATAAAACTAAAACCAAAGTTTATTTAGTTTACAAGAATTAAATATTTCACAATTTTAGAGAAACAGAAAGAATTACTACCAAAAACCAAAACCAAAAACACATGAAAGTAAAAGTAAAATAAAAATAAAAAATTATCTTAAAAAGGTTTAATTTATTTTTGTGTTTCCCATTCTCTCCTCCATGACCACCCTATACAAAAAAAAAAGAGAAGAAAAGAAAGTGGGCCTAAAACTCAAGGATTGGTCCCCTCTGTGGCATACCCTATCAAGTAAGACTTTTGGGATGTGTTTGGCAATGTCGGCGGTGTGACTTTCACAGTGTGGCTTTCGGTTGCTATCTAAGGTCACTTCCCACTTTTGGCATTTTGGTGAATGCGCCACAAAAAATGGTATGTAAACATATATTATTCAAAACCCTTAATTATTTAGTCGGCAAATGGTTCTTGGCTACGTTTGGCTCTTTTCTTATCATGTAAGTGCTGGCTAGGATCAATTATTGCATCAGAAACTCCTTGACTATGCATACACTGTTAGAATATTGTGTATGTTTTTGTGGTAAGTAGATAAACTTGTGCTTGTGAAGAGTTTGAATATGATAAATGTCCCTTTTTTTTTTTTTTTTGTCATGTTTGTTTCCTTGAAGGTGAACTCACAAGCTTTTTGTTTATTTCGTTGAGAAAGATGAAAATTGTTTATTTGACAACAAAATTTTGCACCTGACACAATTTCATTGATTGATTTTTAAAAGGTTTGAAAAAAGTTTTTTTAGGGATATATATGGAAAGAAAATTTAGAATGTCCCTTTTATTTCAGATTTCTTCTTTTTTTTCTTTGTTGGTCACTCTCTCGTCTTCTTCCTTTTTGTATTTGCTCGTCACTCTCTATCGACCATTAAACCGTGCTCTCAGTCCATCATTTGAGTTGGACTTTTCTTTCTTTGCAGTCGCTGTATCTCCACCATTGTCCGCACATTTCTCTCTTTGGACGTCGCTCTCGCTCCATTAGTTGCAGGTCTCCATTTCATTCTCGCTCCATCGCATTGTGGTTGGCGTTATTTCTCCCAAGGTTTCGACTTTTTGCTTCTTAAAGCTTTTTCAAAGGCCATTGTATTCGATTACAAGGGACAAAATGACCTGTAATTGGACAAACCAACAATTAGCCCCTAGTAATCGATTGCAGGGACCCTATAATCGGTTACTAAAGCATAACTTGGACAAAAATGATCATAGACTTCACCTATCTTGGTTCAAAAACATATATGGGCTTTGACCTTTGTTGACTATTTTAATCATAACTTTTTCCACAGACCTCCAAATGATGTGATTCTTTTTTTATTAGAAAATAGACTCAAAAAGCTTTCCAATGACTACAAATTTGTAATTTTTGGACATCTGAGTAGGTACAGTTAATTCCTTAAAGTTAAAGTTTTGTATATTCCCGTCAACTCTGACCTTTGCTGGTTGTTTTACTCTTAACTTTCTCCACCGAACTCCAAATGAGTTGATTCTTGTTTTGTTGGAATCTAGACTCAAAGAGCTTTCCAATGACTACTAATTTATAATTTTTGGAAATATAAGTAGGTACAGTTAATTCCTTAAAATTAACGTTTTAAATATTCCTATCACCTCTGATGAAACAAAATGGAGAAGAAACATGAAGTCTACAAGTTGCATAAAGCACTTTACGGGTTGCGACAAGCTCCCAGGGCATGGAACAAAAGGATTGATGCTTTTTATCAGCCACGGGTTTGAGAGGTGTGCTGTAGAGCATAGTCTGTACGTAAAGAAGAGTGATGGTGATAACATAATGATTTTTTGCCTCTATGTTGATGACTTATTGGTGACTGGTTCCAGTTTAAGTAAAATTGAAGAATTCAAACAGATGATGGAAGCTGAATTTGAGATGACAGACCTTGGGAAGCTTAGTTACTTCTTAGGGATGGAATTTTCTCAAACAACTGCAGGCTTGCTGATGCACAAGAAAATGTATGTGAAGGATTTATTGGAAAGGTTCAAGATGGTCCAGTGTAACGATGTCAAGAATCCACTCGAAATTAACGCAAAGTTAAAGCTAGATGAAGACAAAGAAAGTGTAGATGGAACAGCTTATAAGCAGCTTGTTGGATCATTACGATTTCTGTGTAATAGCAAGCCAGACTTAATGTTTGGAGTTGGTCTGATAAGCCGATTCATGAGTAATCCTAAAATAAGTCACATGGCTGCTGCCAAACGTATATTGAGGTATGTTAAAGGAACCGCAGACTATGGCATTTTGTTTCCCTATGGGACGAAGGAGGAAGAGTTGAAGCTAGTTGGATACACCGATTCTGATTTCGGTGGTGATCAAATAGAGAGAAAGAGCACATCTGGAAACATTTACTTTATAAACAGGGCACCTATTTCGTGGAGTTCTAAGAAGCAAACTGTCATCACTTTATCAAGTTGTGAAACAGAATATATTGCTGGGTGTTATGCTGTGTGTCTAGGTGTTTGGCTGAATGAGGTTTCAAAAGAATTGAAAGTGCAAACTGATAGGCCAGTTGAGCTAAAGATGGACAACACGTCTGCCATAAGCTTAGCAAAGAACCCGGTAAGCCACGGAAGAAGAAGAAGCAAACATATCGAGGTAAAGTATCATTTTTTACGGGATATGGTGAACAAAGGCAGATTTGAGCTCACACATTGCAGGACTGATCTTCAATTAGCAAACATGTTTACAAAGGCTCTTAAACTGGAAAGATTTGAGTTTCTCAAAAAGGAAATTGGAGTGCTGACACAAAGCGGCTTGAATTAAGGGGGTGTATTAGATATATATAATTCAAAGCCTTGTTAAAATTTGACTCAGTCAGAAGTTAGTTAATACCGTTGATCATTTTATTGTGTTTCCCTTCCTGGTATATAAACACTGTTCTCCTACTATAATGATAGTTCTCTCAAGCGTATTACTTTAAAACTCTCTCGCACATTTCTGTTTTGTTTCCCTCTCTATCAGTTCTATCACTGTTTTGTATTTCTGCTGCTCCCATTAGATTTAAAATTTATTTCTTAATAATATATCGTTGTAAAACTTTATTTGACGGATATTATTAAATATTACAGTTTTATTTGATTACTGTTTTTGAATACAGTAACCTTGTTAGGTTTAGTTATTCTGTTTTCTGTTTTGTTTTCCGTTTGTTTTCCCTTCCCTCTTGAACTCTATAAATAGAGTTTTCCCTCACACAGACAGTTGTAATTTTTCATGCTCATTTCAAATAATAACATCAGTTTTCTTTTCTTAAATCAAGCTAGGAGTTTTGTTTACTAACCTGTTATCCGTGCTCCTCCGGTCTTCTTCCTTGCCTCCGGTGAAGGTAGCACCTCGCTCCGGTGACGGGTCTCCATGAAGCCCTAGAATCTCCCTTTCCCACTCGATGCTTCCTATCACACACTGTCTTTCTGTTCTCGAGACAGCTTTCGGCCTATAACGAAAGCTTCTTGCGTTTTGGGTTTATTTCGTGCGTTTTGGGTTAAAGGCCACTGGGCCTATTACTTTCTGATGTGGCTTTTTCTCTTTAGATATTGCCCAAATCGAGTGTGACAGATTGTTTGAATGAAAATTAAATGGTAAAGAAGGTGCAGGAGACCCACCATGGCATCATGGCTTCAATTTCATCATTTAGAAAGTATAAATGATGATCATAGTATCTTAGTTGTCATTAATAAGGGACAAAAATCATGATAAGTTAGGACTCTTACCTTGTTTTTCTCCAAATTTGACATCTGTGACCTTGGCTAATTCAGAAAGCATTGTCTCTTGAAATTGATCTGCTATCAAATTGTAGATAGCACGTGCTAGAGTTGATTTTGTTACGAGGGTCAGGACCTATAAGCCATTGAATTTGTTGCATTCGAGCTTTCTATTCAACAAGATAGTTGGCAATATGCAAGTTTTCCAGATACCTCTTCTGTGATTTTTTTTTATCATATTTTACTCGTATTCTTCACTGCTATTCGGAAACGGTTAAATTTATTTATTGAGGAGCTTTGTTTTTTTTATAAAAGGTGTTTATTAACTAAAAAATAGTTTAGTAATATAACTTCAATGCTTAAATATTACGAATTTACTTTAAATTTAATTTAACTTTCTGAGTATTATCTTCATTAGATGCTTGTTAAAAATAATTATCTTCATTAAATATTTAGATTTTAGACCAATATTTTCCAATGGGTGTTTGTTAAAAATAATTATCAAGGTGTTCTTCATAAAATTTATGAGTGGTGAGTTCGATTTTAATTATCAAGGTTTTGATTTACATGTTAGATGTAAATCAAAAGATTATCACGTCATATTATTTTAAAATAGCAAATCACGTTTTTTAATCTACACTAAACTTTTTTTACTTTTATATTTATGATCTACGTTGATGATTATATCTACATTCATATTTGTTGCTGTAATTATTCTGTGTTTCAGTTTTTACCTAACATTAACCACCTTTCCAATTTTTAACACATTGAAACATTCCAAATAAAATTTGAGAACGTATTGAAAACAAAACAGCCACTGAATCAAGTGCATCACCATCATGCCTGTACCATAAGCGTTTCGATATTCCATTGTCAAAATAACATCTTTATTATACTTAGATGCATCCAAAACTCCCATTAAACCTTCAAATTTTAGATTCTGAAAAATTGGAAATAATATTATTTTGATCCATCACATGCTAGCTGCGTAGAAATTCTATTTCAATTGTTGTACCTCTGATCAGTCTGCAGAAATATACTTTAATGTCTGAGATGTTAGCTTTAATGGAAGAGTTGTTAGCTTCAATGGCAGAGATGTCGGCTTTAATAGCACCGAGTTTCTCTCCTAATTCTTCTTTCATTTTCTTAATCCTGGTCAGCCTTTGGTGTGTCTGAATTTCCAAGACTATATATTTCTGAACTGATTCTGAGTTTCGAAACATCTTCTACTTCATAAACTTTACGTGACTGGGATGATGTGGACTCAATTTTCTTACTTACACGAGCATTGAACTCACTTGAAAGTTCTGATATCAGTGGTGCCATTTTTCTTTTGGCCTCGGCATTTTGCGTCTCTGCAGAACTTGGAGCTACTATTAGTTGATCATCTACAAGTACTCCTTCTGAACCAAAGGATATATCAATAGAAGCAGAACTAATTTTACCAAAGAGTAAGAAAGGAAGGACAAAGAACATTTTACCTTGGTTATTGTAGTCAACACTGGATGCCGATTCTTTTGAATCTGAATTGTTGTACTCATAATTCAAAGGTTGTTCACCAATAACAGATTCTAATGGGGTTGTAGGGTCGAATAAAGAGGTGCCTCACCAAGCAACACAAGTTTATGTTCCATAGTACTAGATCACAAGGATCTATCTTCTACGAGGATTTGAGAACCGAACATCCTCCATTCTACTCAATTTTCGATGTACATAAACTCCTGTCGTTCTGATTTCTCCCAACTTACTTGAATCACTTTCTGGATTTATCGTCAACCTTATTATTCCAGGAATCCACTTATTCGTCAGAAGCGCTTTCTGAACATCCGAATTCAATTGACGGTGAAAATCATTTTGAATATTGACTATAATTATGTGACTATCCTCAGTTATCCATTCTATATTAATAAAAACGATATAACGAACACACTCAAAATTATTTTTTACTCTAACATAGTAATCAATCCTGGCAGCGAAAGGAGGCTTGACATTATTGGAGGCTCCAATAATAGTACACACAGCGAGAGAGGGCAATTCTTTACGAAACCAAAATCTTACAGAATTTCCCCCGCTAGAGTGGTCAAACAATTCTGGGATTTCCCGACCGGGAAGTAAACAGATTCTCATTGCAGCAGAATCAATGGCCTGTGAAACGGGTCATGTTATATGCATGGTGAGTTTGGAAAAATAAAGACATAGCTAGTTAATGGAATCACTCAAAGAAGATAGACACACCCACCTGCCTGAGTTTTAATATTAAAGAGTTGACTTCAACAGAACAGTTTGCTGCGTAGAACTGATAAATATTCAATGGAAGTCCTCTAATTTCTTGAAGCTTCTTGCAGTTGGTGACGTGCAGATATTTCAAAGAGTGACATTCTTCAATGCTGGCAGGAAGGATTGTAATGTCTAAGTTTTGTAAATATAATGTTTTTAAATTAGGAAAGAACATTGGCAGGTTTTGAAAGAAATTGGACGATTCATTAATTTCAAGCATTTGGCCTTTCCCCAGGGAAAATACTTCAATACCCCTAAGATCTTGCATTGACAGTGGCAGATTTCTTATGCCAGTTCCTCCCAAGTAAACTTGTTTTAGTTTGTGCATTGGTGCCAATACTTCTGGAAACATAACAAGACTGCTGCAGCCCCCAAAGCACAGATGCTCCAAAGATTTCAACTCTATGCGACTTGGACCAATTTTGAGCTTGGTACATCCTCCAGCACAAAACACTTTAAGATGAAGTAAAGATCCAACTGAATCATCAATCTCAGACAGATTTGTGCATTCAGCAACACTAAGTATTGTCAAATTGGGGAAACCAGAGATGTCAGGTATTCGTCTAATATTCTTACAACCTCTGAGAATCAAGTGTCTCAAAACCTTTGAATTCTGCAAAATAACAAGTCTACAGTTATTAGTTTGGTTTTTTTGAAGAATCAAGTGTTAATCCAAAACCTAAATTAATTTTAGATGACGAATAAAATTGTACATGCCTGTAGTGGTTTGTCCCATCTAAAGTAACTGTGTGACAAGTTGAGTATGACAAGATTCTTGAAATGAAAATTGCTCGGTAAAGAAGGTTCAGGATATCCACGCCATTCCAGCACTCTCAAACTGTTTGGCAGAGTAGCAGGGATTCTAAGAAAGCCAACATTCTTTTCTACAAGAAGCATCCGTAAGCTTTGTATTTTTCCAAACTCTAAATTGCATTGCATTTCTTCTTGGTGTTCTGGCATCTCCAACATCATCGCTTCAATTTTATAATTTTCCTTTCAGGCCAAAAGCAGAAAAGGAGCTATAAAATTTATAGTTCATAAAATGTAAATGCTTTATTGGCTCTTTTTAACGAGAGTTAAGAATCATGAAATGCGTACAGATTCAACTCATGATGTAATAAAAGAAAAGGAAAGGAATAGGACTTGTACCTTGTTTTTCTCCAACACGCAAACAATGTCCTCGTAAATCCACAACCTAGGACCATTGCGACGCAGAGTTGATTGTTGTCTAGCTATTTCTTTTCCCATACACCGAATCATGTCATGCATTTCCACAGCATCATGTGGACATTTCCGAATTTTAATGAGAGATCTTTCTTCCAGCACTTTCAGACCAAAATGTGGAGGAACACCACCTCTTGCCTCAAGCGTATTTGTAACGTATCCACGAGACCGTCCTCTAAAGAAGCAAGCTATGTCAAGAAACATTTCTTGGTGAGAAACCTCCAAACTATCATAGCTAACTTTAAGAACATCCTGAACACCTCTATTTGGAATTCTCTCATAAGTTTCTAATGCAGATTCCCATTCATCCAAGGTTTTGCCAAACAAGTGCGAGCCTATCGTTTCCAAAGCCAATGGAAGGCCATCGGCATACCACACTGCACGCTTTATGACTTCCTTGTAACATGGATCAACTTCTTTGTTCTTGAAAGCATTCCACTTATACAATTTAAGGGCTTCCATATGGTTAATTTCACCAACCATGTACTGTTTTTGAACTCCATGAACATCTAACAAATGCTTATCCCTTGTTGTTATTATGACGATGCTACCAGGGCCAAACCAATCAAGTCCTCCATCAGTTGCTTGCAATTGTTCTTTTTTGCTAATATCATCAAGCACAAGGAGGACTTTTTTCCCACAAAGTCTGTGTTGTAGTATTGGAATTCCTCGATGCACATCTCCTAACTTGATATTTCTTTCCCCCACCAACTCAGACAGCATTGTCTCTTGGATATGCACCAGACCTTTTTCCCTGACATTAGCAAGAAATTGCGAAGCTTCAAATTGATCTTCCATCAAGTTGTACATCGCACGTGCAAGAGTTGATTTTCCTATTCCTCCCATTCCATGAATCCCAAGCATGGTCACTTTCTTATCAAACTCACCACCCATGAGTTCTTGTATCTGTTGCATCCGATCTTTCAAACCAACAGGATACTCAGCAATATGTAAGGGAGACCGCTTAAAATTATCGGAGATCTCTTTTATGATCTTTTTCACTATATTAGACTCATACTTTTCACTGCCATTCATACAAGAGCAATCAAATCACTGTCACATTGGCAAATCAGAGAGACTATTGCTATATACTGATAATTTGATAAAATAAAGATTAATCTTCTGTCTTTTTAAACTTCATATACAAGTTCCACAGTTACATGGGCAAATCTTATTAGTGATGAATTTATTCTATTTAAGATTATAGCAAGACATAATTATATCACTTTTTACAATACTAACATACTATCAATCAAATAAAAGATGAAGTTAAAAATTATAAAGAAAAGATTAATAATATTTTTAAAAAAGATAATATTTCTTATAAAATAAAATTTCAATAATATAAAATAGTATAATTTTTAATCCTTATATATCATCGGTTTTACAAAATCAGCAAATTTTAATTTCATTTGCCTTATATTTTATCTTTTAAAAACTATTTCTAATATTTATTATTTTGTCATTGACTATTCATATATTTAATACAATTAAATACAATTAATGCCTGTGGTACATTAAGTATACTTTAATTTTTTTTTTCTCCGAACCACCAACTCAGCAACGTAATTTATAAAAAGAATAGTATTTATAAATTTTATGGAGCAGCAGATAAAACTAAAACCAAAGTTTATTTAGTTTACAAGAATTAAATATTTCACAATTTTAGAGAAACAGAAAGAATTACTACCAAAAACCAAAACCAAAAACACATGAAAGTAAAAGTAAAATAAAAATAAAAAATTATCTTAAAAAGGTTTAATTTATTTTTGTGTTTCCCATTCTCTCCTCCATGACCACCCTATACAAAAAAAAAAGAGAAGAAAAGAAAGTGGGCCTAAAACTCAAGGATTGGTCCCCTCTGTGGCATACCCTATCAAGTAAGACTTTTGGGATGTGTTTGGCAATGTCGGCGGTGTGACTTTCACAGTGTGGCTTTCGGTTGCTATCTAAGGTCACTTCCCACTTTTGGCATTTTGGTGAATGCGCCACAAAAAATGGTATGTAAACATATATTATTCAAAACCCTTAATTATTTAGTCGGCAAATGGTTCTTGGCTACGTTTGGCTCTTTTCTTATCATGTAAGTGCTGGCTAGGATCAATTATTGCATCAGAAACTCCTTGACTATGCATACACTGTTAGAATATTGTGTATGTTTTTGTGGTAAGTAGATAAACTTGTGCTTGTGAAGAGTTTGAATATGATAAATGTCCCTTTTTTTTTTTTTTTTGTCATGTTTGTTTCCTTGAAGGTGAACTCACAAGCTTTTTGTTTATTTCGTTGAGAAAGATGAAAATTGTTTATTTGACAACAAAATTTTGCACCTGACACAATTTCATTGATTGATTTTTAAAAGGTTTGAAAAAAGTTTTTTTAGGGATATATATGGAAAGAAAATTTAGAATGTCCCTTTTATTTCAGATTTCTTCTTTTTTTTCTTTGTTGGTCACTCTCTCGTCTTCTTCCTTTTTGTATTTGCTCGTCACTCTCTATCGACCATTAAACCGTGCTCTCAGTCCATCATTTGAGTTGGACTTTTCTTTCTTTGCAGTCGCTGTATCTCCACCATTGTCCGCACATTTCTCTCTTTGGACGTCGCTCTCGCTCCATTAGTTGCAGGTCTCCATTTCATTCTCGCTCCATCGCATTGTGGTTGGCGTTATTTCTCCCAAGGTTTCGACTTTTTGCTTCTTAAAGCTTTTTCAAAGGCCATTGTATTCGATTACAAGGGACAAAATGACCTGTAATTGGACAAACCAACAATTAGCCCCTAGTAATCGATTGCAGGGACCCTATAATCGGTTACTAAAGCATAACTTGGACAAAAATGATCATAGACTTCACCTATCTTGGTTCAAAAACATATATGGGCTTTGACCTTTGTTGACTATTTTAATCATAACTTTTTCCACAGACCTCCAAATGATGTGATTCTTTTTTTATTAGAAAATAGACTCAAAAAGCTTTCCAATGACTACAAATTTGTAATTTTTGGACATCTGAGTAGGTACAGTTAATTCCTTAAAGTTAAAGTTTTGTATATTCCCGTCAACTCTGACCTTTGCTGGTTGTTTTACTCTTAACTTTCTCCACCGAACTCCAAATGAGTTGATTCTTGTTTTGTTGGAATCTAGACTCAAAGAGCTTTCCAATGACTACTAATTTATAATTTTTGGACATATGAGTAGGTACAGTTAATTCCTTAAAGCTAACGTTTTAAATATTCCTATCACCTCTGACCTTTGCTGTTTGTTTTGCTTTAAACTTTCTCCACCGAACTTCAAATGTGTTGATTCTTATTTTATTAGAAAATAGACTCAAAAAGATTTCCATTGAATACTAATTTGTAATTTTTGGAAATTTGAGTAGGTACAGTTAATTCCTTAAAGTTAACGTTTTATATATTCCTACCAACTCTGACCTTAGCTGATTGTTTTGCTTTTAACTTTCTCCATAGAACTTCAAATGAATCGATTCTTGTTTTGTTGGAATCTAGACTCAAAGATATTTCAAATGATTACTAACTCATAATTTTTAGACCATTGTACTAGGTGCACTTAATTTCACAAAAACAACATTTTTCTAAGCTTCCTAAATGGTCATAGACTTCACCTACCTTGGTTCAAACACCTATACGGACTATTTTGTCTACAAATGAGTGTAGAAAACTTTGTTTTGATATAATTGATACCATCAAAGATAAGCAACATGAGGCATCCATGAAAAATTGGAAAAAATCACCTATAGGGACATAAAAATGACCTTGGGGAGTCAAGTTCTCCCAACTGGGGAGTAACGTGTAACTTTTTGTACAAATCAACAATCAACCCTTGTAATCGATTACCAACGGCTGATTGCGGATTTGTACGAAAAGTTACACGTTACTCCCTAGTTGGGAGAACTTAACTCCCCAAGGTCATTTTTGTGTCACTATGGGTGATTTTTTTATTTTTTTGCATGGATGACTCACGTTGATCGTCATTGATGTTGTCAAGCGCATCAAAAAATAGTTTACTCCACTTAATTGAGGATGAAACATATGTTACTCATCATTGATGGTGTCGAGTGTATCAAAACATAGTTTGCCCACTTAATTGTGGAGGAAAAAACTCCTATAGGTGTTTGAACCAAGGTACTTCAAGTCCATGACCATTTTTGTCTAACTCATGCCCTGATAATCTTGTAATCGACTACAAGGCATGAGTTGGGCAAAGATGGTCATGGACTTCACATACATTGGTTGAAACCCCCTATATGGATTGTTTCGTCCACAATTAAGTGGGGCAAATTGTGTTTTGATACACTTGACACCATCAATGATGAGCAACATGAGACATCCATGCAAAAAAAGGAAAAAATCAGCCAGAGTAACACAAAGATGACCTAGGGGAGTCAAGTTCTCCTAGCTCGGGAGTAATGTGTAACTTTTCGTACAGATCAACAATTAACCCCCGGTAATCGATTACAGGCCCTGTAATCGATTACCGGGGTTTAATTGCTGATCTGTACGAAAAGTTACACGTTATTCCCCAGCCAGGAGAACTTGACTCCCCAAGGTCATTTTTGTGTCTTGTCGATGATTTTTCTATTTTTTTGCATGGATGCCTCACATTGCTCATCATTGATGGTGTAAAATGTATCAAAACACAGTTTGCCCCACTCAATTGAGGATGAAACATATGTTACTCATCATTGATGGTGTCAAGTGTATCAAAACATAGTTTGTCCCACTTAATTGTGGAGGAAAAAACTCCTATAAGTGTTTGAACCAAGGTACTTCAAGTCCATGACCATTTTTGTCTAACTCATGCCCTGATAATCTTGTAATCGATTACAAGGCATGAGTTGGGCGAAGATGGTCATGGACTTCACACACCTTGGTTTTTAACGATGAGGCGGCCATAGCGGTGACAGTGGCGGTGGCCGCAGCGGTGACAGTAGCGGTGACAGTAGCAGTGGTGGCCGTAGTGTTGACA